ACTTTTGCAAGAACTTTCACCATAACATATGTTATGTTGATCATTTTTTTGTGATCTGCAACAGTGTCCACTATGCTTTTATTGGACACATCATGAGCTGTAATTTGCACACTCGCAATACCTAGATACACTGCCCTCCAAAAAGTATTTGGACAATGTTTTTTGATAATTACGCAAAACGCCACATAACTAAAGTACATAAAATTTATGTCATTTTATGGCTTGGTTCTGACGACTCTACATATAAAATCTCATTTTCCTATCATTCTTTTATGATTTTTAATTAAAAAAAAACGAACACCAAATAAATCACGAGGCTCATTTTTGTGATTTTCCAATAATTTTATTTTTCTCGAAATTTTATATCATAAAATTTAATAAAAATTTAACAGTTTGTAGTTTAGGTTCTCATAAATAAATGACTAAAACTTCATGTTCTTGTCACGTGTAAAAGTTTTGTTATTCAAATAAACCGAGTACCAATAAAATTGATTAGATCAAAAAAATCATGGAAATTTTTTTTGATTTTTAAAAATGGCAAAAAAGAAAAATTCAGAATTAACTGAAGTTGAGCGAGGAAAAATTTTAGGCCTAAGAATAAGTGGTAGTTCTCTTGCAAAAATTGCAAAGAAATTTAATATTCCAAAGTCTACAGTTCATTATACTATCAAACATTATGAGAATGCGGAGAATTTAAAAAGTGCACCAAGAAGTGGTCGTCCAAAGTTGTTGAAAGTTGAAGATCAAAAAATTTTAAAAGAAATTGCATCAAAAGAAAACCGTAGTTCTTTAGAGGAAATTCAAAAAAGGTTTGTAGAAGTTAATGGTGTTAAGGTATCAAAAAATACAATTCGCACAAATTTGCATGAACTTGGGATTTTTTCCAGAATTGCTGCAAACAAGCCCTTGTTAAAAAATCAACAAAGAGAGAACAGGTTGAAGTGGTGTATGCAAAGAAGAAATTGGACAATAAGACAATGGAAAGCAATTATTTGGAGTGATGAGTCACGTTTCAAAATTTTTAGAAGTGATGGTCCAACTCGAGTTTGGTGAAATGATGGTGAACGTTACAAAATTAAGAATGTTAGGCCAACTGTTAAACATGGTGGTGGTAGTGTAATGGTGTGGGGATTTTTTTTCTGGTAAAGGGTTGGGACCTTTGGTTAAGTAGACGGAAAGATGAACCATAGAGATTATATTGAAATTTTGGATAAAAATCTGGTTCCATTGATCACAACACAATTTCGTAGTAGAGGTTACAAATTTCAAGATGACAATGCGCCAGTACACACAGCAAGAAATGTACAAAATTGGATAAAAGAAAAGAAAATAAATGTATTGTCTGATTGGCCATCTCAAGCACCCGATCTTAATCCAATTGAGCATTTATGGAGTGAATTGGAATGGAGACTGAAAAAATGAGAAAATTATCCAAAAAATGCAACAGAATTGGAGGTTGCAATGAAAGAAGAATGGTCTCAAATCCCTCAGAATGTATTAAATAACCTTATTGAAAGTATGCCAAGAAGGATTGAAGTATGTATTTCTAATAACAGGTGGCCAACAGAATATTAGTATTTTTTTTAAAAAATTTTAAAAAATTAAAAAATTTGAAATGATCATCATTAAATAAAATTTTGGTCGGTGTTCGTATTTTTTTAATTAAAATCATAAAAGAACGATAGAAAAATGAGATTTTATATGTAGAGTCTTCAGAACTAAGCCATATAATGACATAAATTTTATGTACTTTTGTTATGTGGTATTTTGCGTAATTATCAAAAAACATTGTCCAAATACTTTTTGGAGGGCAGTGTATGTAAGGAATGAATAAAATAAAATGCTATTTTTGTGTAAAACAATGACAGTAATATAACCAGAACATACCTTTTCAGTTTCAAAATCTTCACATTCTTTTTGTTCAATATTCTCTTTACCATCTGCTTTTTTGCATGTTGTCATGGTTTTTGAGTGTTTTAGGACCTTTGTATAAATTATTATGACTTTCCTTTAACAAATTGTGTTCAATAATTAAGGTTATAGTTTCTTGGTGTACTTGGCAAAGGTTTCTCTCTATCAGCTTATTAATTAGTGAAGAATTAATTATTAAAGGTCAAGATTTATTTTAGGTAAATATATTATGAATTTTATTAATGATAATATTTTTGTTACAATATTGTTGGAGTGTTAGGAAGGTAGTAATTATTAAGTTAATAATTAGGAGGATTATTCTTTTCAACTTGGCCTAAATCAAGTATATTTATACCTCTTGGGGTGTTATAAATTATGTAATTTGTATAACTACTCTAATTCTAAATTATAACATTGTAACATTTCGCTGGGTAAATATTTGTATCAGATGAATATAAATGATTCTTAGTGTAATCATATAAAAGTGTGGTGGAACCATTATACAAACACAAGATTAAAAATAGGAAGGATGTGTTGATCGTCAAGTGTCTACCGCAGTAAGTTAAAAAGGTTTGGTTTGATTGGCAAAGTGGAGACCTCTCTATTGGCCCTCAGTTTACTATCTCACACTAGTATTACACAGTGAATCTCGATTTAACAGATAGTTTGGGCAATTAGGGAAAATTTTCCAAAAATCCATTAAACTGAGATATCTGCTATATCAAGAAGGTTTTTATTAATATTAAGGTTTATTATGAAACCATTCTTTGAACTTTATCCGTAAACTGAGATTTTTAATTAGTAACTGCTAAATTGAGATTCACTGTGTATTTTTGAATTTGGTTTATGTAACTCTAAAAATAATAACCATGTAAATAATTATGAATCAATTCCTTATAATAAAAGTCAAAAATTTTCCAATACAACCTTTCAAGTGATTATAACAACTTTGTAAGGAACACTTTGACACAATTATTACTTTTGAGCTTGCTTTATTCTGCACATTAGTTGGAAAAAAATCTTAAAGTAAATTGTGAAAAAAAGCAACCTTTAGAGTGGGGAAAATTTCCTGATGCTATGTATTATGTACTTCATTGCATTCAATTGATATGAATCATCATAAATAAAACAGTTGATTTTGTTGAAAGAACAATTTATAATTATTGCTATTGCTAATATCAATATCTTTTTCATCTTCATTTTTTATTCTTGATTTTCTGAATTGCTTCTATTGTTTCCTTTCTAGGATTCATTTTTTGTTGACAGTAACTCCTTTCCTTCTCCACATAATTTGTGGATTTCAATTTCATCAAATGAAAAATTTGGATTCAACTCATTCTTTCTATCAAGCAATTGTTTGGATCTCTTGATCACCATGACTTGATTAAGCTTTGGGGTGGGTGTTTGGATACAAAATCCTGATTGGGTAACTTGAATTTCACACATGTGAATTTAAAGAAATAGTCCAATCAACAATACACAAACACTTTTCTCAAGTATTTGTAATTTTATTTTTATACTGATAGATTTTGATTTTGGATTTTGTAGGGTAATAATGACTTTTTTAACATCATTTTTTATTACATAAAATTTTCCTTCCTATTTTTGGGACAAGCAATAAATGGACTCTGTAATTCCCTGTAATATAATAACAATAACAATTGTTTGTATAAAGTTTGATGTCTACTTGTAAAATAAACTTCCTATTAAAAAACATCAGAATAACAATTAAGAATTGAATATGAATCATGCTTTGATTAATCCAATCAATATACTATATGTTTATTTGTTGAAAAATAGCTTTGTTTTAATGTAAAAAAATAAGGATAATTTTTTACCTAATTATGAACATAATTATTTTTTATGAAATCAAATCAATTAAATTTTATTTAACAAATTTCTTTCAAATTTATTATACATGCAACTATAAATTTAAAGTAATGTTGTTATATATTAAGCAGGAATTTTAGATACCTAAAAATATATCTCTAGATAAAAAAAATTATTTTGTAAAACTTTGGCCATGAAATATCAAGTAAATGTGACTTGGGTATTAAGTAAACGTTGCTCTGCCAGGCAACTGTACATGTTTCAGACACAGATAAAAGATTTTGTCTGTTGGATACAAATCGAATCATTTGGAGCCTTAATAATAATAAATAATAAGATTATTATTAATCAAAAAAATTATAATGATTAGTTATGAAAATTTTTTTTAATTTATATAACAAAAGATCATTGATGAACCGAACTTGGTCATCAACACTACTAATTTAATTCAGCCTGTTGATTATAAATAATTTTTAATCATTTCTATTATATAAAGACATCTTTTTTCTCTTCCCTTACTGCCTAGCATAAAGATTCAAATGCAATGTACTCGTTCATTCACCAATACGATCATTTCCCGGATTCGATCATCTAGTCAAGTATCAAAACTATAAAAATGAATTGATTAAATAAAAATATAATTAATAAAACTCTAATGCATAATTTTTTTGAGTAAATAAATGTTTTGAGAAAGAGGAAAACAAAAATCAGGCATTTTTTTTTAAAAAAATAGTAGACATTCAACATGTTTTGATTCTGTCCGCCCGTCTACAAATTATCATCATTTTAAATCACAACTAATAATTTTCAACTACTACTATCATTAATTAATAATTATCAACAAAACTATCATCTACCAACCTTATCTTCGATTTTTCAAAAATCTCTATAAAGGAACTAAAGAAATAAATAATAACAATTTTAATAAAATAATTTAAATAAACAATTTTTAGAAAAAAATCATAATAAATTATTAATTATCAGACAAGGCTGAAACTATTATGTTTCAACATATATTTATATTTATTCAGAGTGTAGGATAAGTATTTTAAATCATCATTTAAATAATTTATTTTTAAAAAATATTTATTTTTACCTAAAAGCGATTTTTAAAAAAAAAATTTTTTTTTAAATTTAAAAATTTATAGATCTGATTTATAAAATCGGTGTAATCAAAGATGCTAATTTCAGTAATAGTAATGATTTTTTAACAATGATTTGTTGATTTGTTTTTTTTAGTTTTTACAAAAAGGGATTTCGATGTTCTACGAATTTAATCGCGTTGTATATATATTTTTAATATATATAAAAAAAAATTGAGCTGCAGATGCAGTTGAAGCTGAAGTTAAAGTTGAAATTGAAGCTAAAGTTGCAACTGCAGAGCACTCCCAAAATTTTTAAATGAAAATTGGTTTTATTTATAATAAAAAAGAAAAACTTCATGGTTTGTTTAACAGATTATCATTGTACGTGATTACATACTAACTTTCTTGTGCTTGGTTCAATGCCTTTGGATGGTTTTTATCTTACGATCTTACATGATCCATGTGTGGTTATCTTTTCTTAACTATTTTTGTCTTATGATATTACACGATTCATATGATCATGATGTTTGATTAATATTAATTAATTGTTATGACGATCAATTTAATTATAGAATCTGCGAAATTTGTAATAATTTTCATGAAGACATTGGCCCTGTGGAGATTTTATTTTTAAATGTCATGAAACCAAAGGATTGCTTGCAGAATGGTTGGGTCTTTGATTGTTATGAATCCAAAAAAAAATTTTTGGTTCAATTGCGCAAATTAATAGTAAGCAATGTCTTGGTATTATTAAATGCAGTGAACGTGAAGCTCAAACAAGACCACAAATCAAAGAGCATGGAAAAAGATCGAATGACAGTTACTAAAGGATGTTCAATTCAAACATGTGATGGTATATACATTAAAATTAAATTTAATCATTAATTATTGATTCCTTTAACAATTAAATAATATCAATTGATAATAAAATTTTTAGGAACCTTGGAATGGAAGAAATGTTCTGCTAAATGTAAATTTATATCCTTAAATATGCCTGATGAAAATGGGTATTTTTATTATCTTTTGCACATTGGGCACCATGAATTTCAACATTGCATTCAAAATAAACCATTTAACAATGAAAAAGAGCAATTACAAAAATGTGTTCACCCAGCACCAGAAACATTACCATGAAAACTTGTTGTTGGCCAACCTTTGGATGCAATCATCAATTATATTTTGTTCTGTTCATAATATATCAGAAGCTTATTCAAACAGTGATTGTGTGGCTTACTATCATCAGAAGATAATTGATGATGAAAATATTATAACAAAAATAATTTTGTTTTAGACTTGTTGCAATTTCAATCAGATCATCAAAGCTCTATTTGAAAAACAGATTTTACAAGCAAAGGTATAATCATACCACAGACAGATTGGATGCAACAACAAGCCTTTAACTGAGAATAATTTTTCGGGTGTAATTACAGATAGCACCTATAAATATTTTACAAATACATTTCTGCTATCTAGGTATGTATTAAATTCATTAAACACATATAACCATAAGTCTTTATAATTTCTGATTAATTAACTTTATTTTATATTTATTTTAATGGAAGTTCTATATATTGTTCCCTTTTGCAAAGATGTTTCTAATTTTAATTTCAATCATCTTATCAAACAATTTTTATGCCCAGGTTATGGAGTTTAACATGGCAGAAAGGGGAAGATTTATAGAAGCCTACATTGAACATAAATCGTAAAAAACAAATGATTCAACAGCTTACTTTGAAGATTTATTAAAATATCATAGGAATTTATTAAAGGATGAGGCCAAGAAATTTTTGAAAGGATGTCCACAACATTTTCGACAATCTGTAAGCAGAATAAGCAGAAATCACGCCATTATAGACTGCACACTATCATCGAATTTTACATCAATGACATTAAAACTTTTAACAATTAATAATAAAGAATTTTATAATCGTGTTAAAAGCTTGCAAGGAAAATGGCCCAAGGCAAATTCATGGTTAGAATGGTGGATTTACACTGATGCAGGACCAATGCTTTTTCCTGCACTAAGCACTATGAATAAGGATTTGTCAAATTTACTTCCTACTACAAATGCCCAAGAATCCATGCACCATTGTTATTGTTTATCAGGTGCAACTCAACAGTCAATTATAACCAGTA